ACTCCCTAAACTAAATCTAGTTGCGCGGCTGAATCGACGTCCTACAAAAATCCCGTATAAATCAGTTTTTGATGCAAAAAGGGATCTGTCGCGTCAAATTTACAAAAAGATGGAGTGATCTTTCATATATATTTAATTTTTAATCTTATTATTGCTATTTACTTCTTTTTAAACTTAATAATTGCAATAATAACGGTGGTGTTGTTTCAGATTTGGTTACCAACAGGCCGCTCCCCCTCATACAATATGCTGACCGGTCGAGCAACTAATCCGAGTCTGTATCCGAGTTGTCGCTGTCAAACATTTACTTATGTGATACATTTTTTATAGGAGGGGGCAAATGAACATACGGCTCACCTGATGGTAAGTGACTGCTGCTGCTCATGAACAACGGCAACACCAGGGAAATTGCACGTGCGTTGCTGTTATAATGTATCTATGTGTGTGTGAAATTGTTAGTTTATTGTTTCATTGTAATTCGAAATAGGGCAACGGAACCCAAGGGGCCAGCAGCTGGTAGACTTCATGGAGAAAGAGGGACTCTTTATGATGAACTCTTTCTTACAAAAGCGGCCCCACAGGAAGTGGACCTGGTCGAGCCCCGACGGTTCGACAAAAAATGAGATTGACTTCAGTATGACGACCAGACGACAACTGTTCAGTGATGTCTCAGTGATCGCGAGGGTGAAAACCGGCAGTGATCACCGAATGGTGAGAGGCACACTGAACCTAAACGTTAAGTTGGAGAGGTCACGTCTAATGAAGTCCCCCGCTCTGTCCCCCTCTAATCCAAAGTCCCGAAACCTTTCAGCTCGAGCTACGAAACCGTTTTCAGTGCTTAGAAAATTGCAATGCAGTGGACGATATGAATGACAAGCTCGTGGAAACTGTGCATGCGGTCGGAGCTAAGTTTTGCAAGACCCGCCGCAGAAGAACACAAAAACTCTCCGATCAAACTCTTAATCTCATGGCTGTTAGACGGGATATGAAGCTACAGTTTTCAGTAGATTTTACAGCATACAGGCAACTGAACAGACAGATCTCCAAATGCATGCGGCGGGACTTACGCATCTTTAATACTGCTCGTATTGAAGAAGCGATCGAGCAGAACCAGGGCTCCAAAGTCTTTGCTAGAGATCTGTCTGCCAGAAAGAGCCAACTGTCGAAGCAAAAGACCGAGTTTGGCAGCGTCGTTTCCGGGACACCTGAGATTTTGAGTAAGATTGAGAGGTTCTATGGGCAGCTGTCCACATCATCGTTGGAGCCACACGTAAGTGTGAAGAGAGAGAGTGTGTTGTAGTCCCTTCAGCAGTGCCAAGTTGACTGTCTGTATATCGAAGTGCTGAAGTGCTTGTACAGTAGGGCTACGATGGCTATCCGAGTACAGAACCTGAGTACGAAATCTATCCAATTGCAGAGAGGTGTAAGACAGTGTGACGCTATATCCCCGAATCTCTTCATCGCTGCATTGGAAGACGTTTTCAAGCTATTGGACAGGAAAGGATACGGTACTACCATCAATGAGGAGTACATCACTCACCTTCGATTTGCCAACGATGTAGTACTTATGGCAGAATCGCTGGAAGACCTAAGCACTATGCTCAATGACCTCAATAGGATAGGTCTTAAGATGAACATGGACAAAACAAAGATCATGTTTAATGTACATGTCACACCTATGCCGGTAGTTGTTGGGAGCACTAAGCTCGAAGTAAAGTACCGCTATAGTGGATATTTGACGATATTGATCTTCGATTACTATAACGAACAAATTAAAATCGTATTGACAGAAAAAGGATTAGAATCAAATTAAAATTTATAAAACTGTTTTTTTAATTTTAATTAGATAATATTACATGATATTTTTATCAATATGGAACATATTCATCATCACTAGCCGAAATCGATATTTCATGGTCGGCATCGTCGTCATCACCCTCATCATCGTCCGTAGAATCCCCTGTATTTATTATAATTTGGTTATCTATGACGGCATCGATATGTATGTCTCTGTCCCAATCAGCGAAAATCAAATTTTTGTTCGTAAAACCACGCTTTCCCAATTCGCGGCAGTAACACTATCACAAGCTTCTTGCAACAATGACAGCATTTTGTTTGCAGTAAACGGTGGGCTGGTATTTTTACGAGCCGCATAACCTAAAATATAGGTTTGCGTGTTAATATAGCAACAGATAAAATGTTAAAATAGGTAAAAATAAATTATAAAAAAGATTTGTTTAAATTCTTGCCTTTAATTTGCGCCCAAATCAATTCTATGGCATTGTATTGACAATGGTAGGGTGGAAGGCGCATTACATTGTGTCCGGCTTCTTTAGCCATTTCTTCCAATACGTATTTTGGTCTAGGTGGCTTATTTATAGCAACCAAATGCAGCAGCTCAACTTTTAACATGGACATGTCAGCAACAATATTATTGTCATTCAGCCATTTCGCAATATCGGCTTTTTTGCTGCTAGAAGTTGGAGGCTTACTTATTTGTACTGAATGATACGGTGCATTATCAATAATGATCGTCGATGGATCATTTAAGTTGGTCAATAAGGTACAAAACCATTCCTTAAATTTAACAAAATTCATCTCCTCGTGGTATTCCACAGTTTTTTTAGATTTAAACGCCAAGAGGCAGTTCGGAACAAATCCCTTCATGGAACCCGCATGACAAATAATTAAGCGTTCGCCTTTGCCAATAGGTACTTTTGTGGAGGAGTGAGGAGTGTCGTCTGTCCATATCTTGCCAACTGTATGATTAGCGTTTAGCCACGTCTCATCTAGAAATATAACATTATTCCAAACGACAATGGACTTTGCTGATCTTAGAAAATTAAATCTGGCTAAAGCTACATTCCATCAAAATCCGCCTTTTATCACATTTTTATAAGAAAAGACAACATTTTTTAAAACCCTCCAGAAAGAAGTTCTACTGCCGTGAAACAGTCCAGATTCTCGTAAAGTATTTGACAATTTATCGAGAGTCGGCAATTCGTTCCTACTATAGTAGCCATAGATATGGTTTCTAATGGCGTCGTTATCAAAATTGTCGATATGTGTAACTATCGATCTTCTAAGTTTTTTCTTAAGTGGCGATTTTAATTTGTCATCTTCCATTAAATCTTTACCATGTTTTTCCTTACTTATTCGGGAAACAGTTTTTCGACTAATACCAAGAGCTGCACTTACTCGGTTAGTCACTTGTGAAAGTGGCAACAATGGACCACCATTCTGATACTCTCTTTCAAAGGAATCTTGTAGGCGTACTACAAACTCTCGCGCTTGACTGCGCATCACTGTTCTTTTAGTGGTCTCAGTTTCGGCCATAGTGTTTATAAATACAAAAAAAAACAAATCAAATAACAGTCAAAACTTAATAACAACGAAAGAATTATCAAACAGTTATAACTACAATAACAAGCACGAAATAAAAACACAACACAAAATCCACTAAACTGAAAACGCGTATCGTATACAAGGCTTCTGCACTCGTACTGAAGAGACAAACAAAATGGCGGTCGTAATCACGAGGTGGACGCAGTGTTGACAGATTTTCATTCGCGAAAAGAATCTTATACGATAAATGACGTGACTAATATAATCGATTTTATACGATTCTTTTAGTCACGTCACTATGTAAAAAAGTAAAAATAAAACTATAGAACGTAAACGCAAAACGGCAGTAAAATATTATTATCTTTTAAAGTTTTAATTATTTTGAGCACGATGTCCAAAAACAATATGTTGATTGTGTGTGTGAATTAACTGTATAATGATTTAGATTGAATGTGTACTTTTAAATGATGATTTACGACCATGAACAAAAATGATTATTATTTCAAATTATGCGAAACGTGAAGAGTTACGTTCTAAGAAGTGTCAAAAGGGACTTCGTAATTGGAATAGAGTATAGGTAAGTCCAACTTCGACCGAAAGGTCAATCGACGGATTCAACTCGGCTGGGCAGCGTTCGGAAAACTACGACACATCTTCTCGTTAGACATACCTCAAAACCTGAAAACGAAATTGTACAACCAATGCGTGTTGCCAGTGATCATTACGGATCTGAGCCGTGGTCCTTCACTGCCGGCCGTATGAGGAAGCTCAAGGTCGCTCAGCGAGCTATGGAGAGGGCTATGCTCCGAGTGTCTCTGCGTGATAAACTTATAAATGTGGATATCCGCAGTAGAACCAGAGTAACCGACATAGCCCAACGGATTAGTAAGCTAAAGTGGCAATGGGCCGGGCATATAGCTCGAAGAACCGACAACCGATGGGGAAAAAAGGTTCTCGAGTGGCGGCCTCGTACCGGCGGACGAAGTGTAGGGCGTCCGCCCACTAGATGGAGTGACGACCTGGTAAGATACGCACGAAGTCGATGGATGCAGGTGGCTCAGGACCGTGCTTTGTGACATTCCTCGGGGGAGGCCTTTGTTCAGCAGTGGACTTGTGAAGGGCTGTAATGATGATTGTTATGCGTAAATTTCGTAGTGACATTATGAAATAATAATGAGACGATTTTTTTTGTCAATAAATAACAGACAGTTTTGTATCGGGGTAAAACACTCCCCACCGGTCCGCCGCGCCGGTGGCCCGTGTTGCTCTATGTAGTAAGCTAACAAAATTTCAATTTAAAAAAAATTAAAGGGCTTCTGAAAAAGGGATTACCACACCGCATTAAAATTTGAACTTTGTCTGTTGGCGACACTGTCACAGAAATGTCATTGTCAATGTCATCCATTTGAATTAGTTTTTTATGTGTTCCGTGAAAATAAATATCTTTGAACATAGAAATAAAAACAAACTAAGATACTTAAATATTATAGGAAAATTCTTATTGTAGTGTCTCCTGTTGAATGTAGACAATACTGTAACTAACTTTAATCGTTAAATGTTAGTGTTCTGAACAAATAAAACTGGCTGTAAAAAGAAACATACGATCTCTTTATATTTTTTAGTTATATATATTTAATTTTTTGAAAATCTATAGCATGAGATGGACAGTGCACATCGAAGGTGGCCCACGAAGGGTCAATCATGCAGCTGTTTGCATTGGTGACAAGATATTTTCATTTGGTGGATACTGTTCCACTGAAGAATATAAAGATTGGGAACCGATTCCTATTCATGTATTGGATACTTCTACACTTAGGTGGTCAATGGTATTTTATAGAAAAACGCATGTGATGCCTTTTCAAAGATATGGTCACACAGCTGTGGCCTACGGTCACAAGGTTAGTGCTCCATTTTAAAATAAATTAAGCATTTGTAAATGTCGCACTAGCATTTCAATTACTTCCGCCATTATTTACATATTATTTAAATTTTAGGTATACATGTGGGGGGGCAGAAACAATGCTGTGGCTTGTGATACACTGTTTTGCTTTGATACAAAGAAATTAGAATGGAGCATGCCAGCTGTATCTGGTATGGTACCATATGCAAAAGATGGTCATTCTGCATGTGTTATAAGAAATAAAATGTATATATTTGGAGGTTTTGAATACCTTACTGATCAGTATTCACAAGAAGTTCATTGTTTGGACCTGGACACATTGCAATGGAGTTTTGTCGATGCACATGGTACTCCACCTTCTCATAGAGACTTTCACACATCTGTACCTGTTGGTGATAGAATGTATATATTTGGTGGCCGTGGTGACTTAAATAGCCCATATAACTCCCAAGAAGAAGTGTACTGTCCTCAAGTGTATTATTTAGATACAATTAAAGATGAATGGGTTGTAGCCAACCCAGGAGGAACCTGGCCTGAAGGTAGACGCAGCCATTCAGCCTGTAAGTCATTAAAAGTTTTCATTATCAGTTTGAGTTCATTAAAAATAATTAACTAGAGATATGATATTGTAGTGTTTTAAAGAAATACATGAAAAAAGATAGCTGCATGTATAATTTACTTATTAACACTACCTTAACAATGATGCAAAACATGTGAAAGAGAACTATTATTTTCTGTCTTTATGTGGGCTGTGATTTGTCATTAAGTAGAAGTTCTAGGCACTTACTGTAATTTCACAGAAAACAAGCAACATGTGTTCAGCCCCTACTGGCTCTTGATTTATCATACACTTGTAGTCGAAGGATAACATAATGAAGAAGCAAGCGTGGCTGGGGAATAAAATAATTCAAACTCTTTTCATACTGTAGTAGCTTGACAGTAATTGCTCCATGACCCGCTTCAAAATAAGAGGAGGGCAGTGCGGTGTATACATATAAGCCAAACCCTTTTTTATGAGCTTTATTTTTTCTGTGTTTAAACATCAGAAAGATGAAGGGGAATATTCAAACATTTTTCTAATTGTCAACCACTCCTACAAGTGGTACTTTTGGACAAGTCTCTGACATCCAAGGCCCAAGTCCCCTAGATAGCTGATTCTGTGCAACATTGTCACTATCAAGATTTTAGCTCTGTAATCAACAATCCACTTAGCCTCAGAGGTGAGAATGGGCAACCCTTACTTACCACTGGGCAGTTATGTTAAATTAGGCTAGCCCTTAAAAATACCTATATTCATCATTAGAGTTAATAAGTATCTTGATGAATGACACCATAAATATAAATATAAAATTATTTTAACACCATTTCAATATTAATTATTAGATTTATTGAAATTTCAGGGTTGCATCAGGGTTACATGTACATCTTTGGTGGGTTTAATGGAAACACAAAAACTCACTTTAATGATTTGTATAGATATTCAATTAATGGAAATTACTGGGAGTACATTAATGTAAGTGGTATTATACCATGCAAGAGAAGACGCCAAGCTTGTCTTCTGTTTAATAACAAAGTGTATTTATTTGGAGGAACAAGGTCAGTATATGGAATATCTAAACATATTAAAATTGTTACCCTACATTGTTTTCTTTTATGTGCAAAATTTTAATTTATGGATTAGATAATAAGTATTTTTGGTATAATTGTTTTGCCACACATTACTTAAATACTACCAATTCTCTATTCACATATTAACAATAGGCAAACCCTTTTATGATACAGCTAGTGTTGCCAAATGTCCCAATTTTTCACTAACCTCCTTAGTCTGTACTTCGATTGATAATTTTGACTGTAATTGTAGCCGTTACTACAATAAAATATTTTGCTTTGACATTCAAATATTTTCTTACCAAACTCAAATTAATAGTCAATACATAAAAGTTTTAAACTTTACACGTATTTTGTTGGCAGTATACAGATATCATTCATGCTTTCTAGTTTTTTTTTCTCTCATGCCTGATGCCGCAGTGTACCTGAGGCAGTAGTGTGTTCCTAATAGCAACTAGAAAATAGAAAAAGCTGTTTGCCAGCCCATCTGCTAAGTGTTGGAACTATGGAACATCTTTATAAGGTGATCTATCGAGAGGCTTATGTTTAACATTGGATTTTGATAGGCTCTAATTGAAAAAAAGTAATTTCAATTCAGTAGCTTCTTACATCTAAGACTACACACGCCCATCATCGGTCTGGGTGGATGTGATAAGCAAGATCCCACCCAGACAAGACCATTGAAAATAGTCATTTCAATTCAGTATCTTCTTACATCTGTGACTACACACGCCCATCATCGGTCTGGGTGGATGTGATATACAGGATATAAGCCACCCAGATCATAGATTTCGGCTCACGCTTGTCGTAAGAAGTGACTATGGGTAATTAGAAAAGAACTTTGCTTCTGATAGATGCTCGCTTACTCCAGACATAAATACAGGTGTAAATTATCGAGCATGGAGATGGACAACATTCAGAACTACGATTGTTAATCGGCCTGCTAAGCATGACATTTGACCATTATAGTCAAATTGTTGTAGTGAGATGGGGGTAAATCTTAAAATCCATGACGAATTGTTTTAATAATATGTAATATTTATGTGCAGTCCATGTCCACATATGAGCGGACGACCTGTAGACAATTCGGATGCAGCGGATGATCCAGAAAGGTTGATAGACAACAGCGACCTTCACTTACTGGATTACTCACCAAGCTTGAAAACACTCTGCATTCTTCAAGTCCTAGAACATAACTTGGACCAATCCATTTTGCCGCGTGATATTATGTAAGTGTTATTTTTATAAATGAGTGATTAAAATGAACAATGTCCTCAGAGATTCTTACAGTTTTAAGTTGTCTAACTAGTGATTTTTAACCTTCGACACAAACAGAGAGGTGTAACATGGTTAACGTGTGTACCTGTGTATCTGTGTGTCTGTCTGTGGTATCGTGGCTCCCAAATGGATGAAACAACTTAGATTTAGTTTTTTTTTGTTTGAAGTGACTTGAACGAGTGTTCTTAGCTATGATTAAAGAAAATCTTTTCAGCCGTTTGAAAACCATCAGCCCTTTTTGTTTCGGGTTTTTTTTTTAATATTTTCAATTTAATATTATGACGTGATATTTAAAACTCTTAATAACTCTAAATACACTGAATATAAAAATATTTTTAATGCTTTGACCCTGATTATCATTTGTTTTCTTTTTATAAAATACTAGCAAGCTATTAATTACTCTCAAAACTATCAATGATTTTGCCCAAATATGGTTCCCGACATTATTATAGTCGAAAAGTGTATTCGAACCCACTATCTTTTAGTTTCTAACTATACACTTTACCAGCGCTTTGTTGATTATTTTGATTGGGGCCTCTAACTTGTCCATTTCTACGTAATTTCAGAGCATTAACACCTGGTCTCAAAACATTGAAGCAATAAACTCTTACATACATTGTCACTGATTTTATAAAGCTAATCCAGTATGAACAAAGGACTATTTCACTAAATATTGCATTCTTCTTTTCAGCTTAGACATTCGAACGATGACGCTTCCGAATCGCATAAGCAGACCCTTTAATCAAGCTGGGTGATGGAACACGTTTTTTTTAGAATGTACCCGTGATCCCTTGTAATCGTTTTCTAAATACCATTGGGATTTTATACATATATTTCGTTTAAATAATACATTGTATGTAATTTTGAGATTACTTCTCATGAGCACTATGAGTTTTTATAACATGTATACTGGTTTATGAAGAGTATATAGCACGCGCAAAACTTAAATGCGACTCGAGTGAAGTGATCGCCGTCACTGTTGCGTAGATACCAATATAAAGAGTGCAGTTACGATTTTACAATTAAAGTAGTGAAATAAACACATCAATACGGTATAGCGATATTTTAACAACACACGAATTCCAAAGAGTATGTCAATATTTTCTCAAGACTTTCCTATATATCCAAGAAAACTATTTAATGATTTACCATTTTTTTTTATATAAACATTCACTTTAAATGAGATTTCAAATTTTTTGGCAGAGAAAAAAACGCAAGTGTGAGAACTACATTATGAAAGTTTAATTATTAATATAAAAAATAAAGTAAAAACATTTTAAGGTTGGCTATTAATTAAGAGTTAATAATCAGTAAAAGCACCCATGATATTCATAACGCATCCGTATCGGTTATGCATGCTCATAATTAGGTTGTCAATATCCTGCTGAGAAATATTGTCGCAGGTGTTACTGAGATGCACAAAAGGTTATTCTTCTGTAACCAGATTTTCAGGAAATTCCCTGAGAGCTCTTCACTCTCTATAAAATCTGGGGATTGCACTGGTCATTCTAGGGCCGTGGCATCATGTTCGTGCAACCAGGCTGTTGCCACCCTGGCCGTATGTGAACGGGCATTATCGTGTATAAATTTTGACCCATTTGTGTTCGATGTGGCAAGACTACTGGTTCTAACACCTCATTACGGGTTTTTTTCAGTTGTCATAGTGCCCTGTATCCAAACGGGGTCCGTTCTTCCACCACAACGAATTCTTGCACATACCATAATTGTACCACTTTGGTATGGACGAACTTCTTGAGGGTGTAGAAGCCGGCTTGAACGACGAGGAACCCCCCAAACACGTACTTTCCTCGAATCAGGATGAAAACCATATCGAGATTCATCTGTGAAAAGCATCAATGACCATTGATGAGGTTCCCAGTTCACATGTCTTCATCCACGATTTCCTCTTAGAGCTGAAACCTGAAGTGGTCTACAAGCATGAAGTTTGGATTCACGCAGTCTCCTCATCACAGTTTGGTCTCTCACAAGCACCTGGTGTTCGGACTGTAGCCTTTGAACCAATTGCATCGCCGTAACATTTGGTTGTCTTCTTGCAGCAATTTGCAAAAAACTGGTCTTGTCTGGGTGGTGAAAAACAGTTCTATATCGGGGAAAACACGCTATGGCTACTCCCCACCGGTCCGGGTAGCCCGTGTTGGTCCATGGCTTTGTCGTACGTAATTGCATACAGCTAAGAAGTGGAATAATTTGCCAGCATTTCTATTTCCATCCGTCCGATTCCAATGTTTGTTTTTTCAAGGCAAGAGTGAATAAGCTTTTGTTAAGCTAAGTCAATGAACGAAGCTAAGGCATAGTAGTCAAGCAATGGCTTATAATTTTAAGAAATCCTTGTACTACAGAGTATTTTTTCTTGCAATTTAATGTGTATGTAAAACAATGCTTAAAATTTTGCCATTATATTTACAATATACTTCATTGTTAAATGCAGAACTATGATATACCTAAATATTATAGGTACACTTAATACTACAAAACAAATGACAATAAAAATATTGGCATAGACTCTAATGCAATAATAACTTTGTTCGCAACTGTCCGCGAGCCAAGTGACAGGTGTAGCGTGAGATATTAAGAATGACAACAAGCGAGCGCAATACTCTTCCTCGAAACCACCCGCTAAAATGGTGTCCTATGCAGCATATGGACGTACTTCAGAGACGCATTTAAACGTATTTCGCGTACTGTAGGTGTTTAGTTAATTTGTTGCAAAGTGGGACATGTATGTAGTGTATAGGAAACACTACAAGGTATTGTGGTAAAGAAAACTGGAAAGAAGTGCAATACAGTACTATAGTGTAAACTTGTGTAGCCTAATGAAGTAAAATAATAATCTATTTATTTTGTTTGTGAGTTTCATTAACCAAAGCCCTATGTTATAGACCTTAGCAGGCATTCCTTTAGGTGTGTGACATTTTCTAGGTGGTTTAATAAAGGATAATTCAAAGGGCTCTCTTGCTTATTATATGTTGACATTAATTGAATGCATTAGAATTTGACCAAGTTGCTTAATGTAATATTTTACATATAAGCTGGACAACGTTTAGCCGTCGGGTTAAACAAAATTGTTTGCTAGAGTGAACATGATTTGATGGAAATTTCAGTCAAAATTTAATTTATAGATAAATTAAAAATTTACCGTATCAAATAGGCCGGCTTTCGGCCAGCCGAAACATAGTGATGTATGCATCATTATAATTCGACTAAAATGCTATTGGCCTTAAGTTAAATGCTGGCTTTTAACTAATAAACGAGCCCTAAAATAAACAGGCTGATTAAACCATCGGGCTACGACATATGTATATCCATATTAATATGTATATCCATATTAAACAACATTAAGCTGTAGTGGCTCAGGCCAAGAACACTATTTTCATACTAAGCAATCAACCTGAGTTCGATTAATTCTGAAGCCATGTCTACTGAAGTTATTTGAAACTTTTTTGTTGGAAAAGTATAACAACGTGAGTAAATCTGCAAGCCTGTGAAATAAAAAGTATTTGAAAGCAAACTCGCACTGAAGTAGAGCGGGCGATTATCCCGCAGGCAGGAAACAAAAAAAATTCAAGGAAAAGCTAATGCACTGCAGTAAACGCATGAACTTATGGAATCTTTCTTCCAATGTTAACACGAGTGTGAGTACCTACCTACGTAGTAAAATAGTGTCCGTAGCAAGGAAAATCCGCTCAAACTAACATTGAGGTTGTGGTGGAATTCTATTTATATATTTAAATAGTTCGATACAAAAGAAAGACGCACTGCGTTGCATAAGCAATGTGGTGCCACGTTTCCTTACACTGATGGTGAACACGGTAAGTACGACGTGGCAATGATTTACTGGGTCACCATGTAACAGTACAATTAGCGCTATAGAATAGAATAGAATGACTTTTATTCAATATGGATTATTACATAATACTTATTGAAAGAATAATTCTACTAGCTTCAATAATACTTATTGAAGCTAGTAGAATTGCAGCCCTTTTCAGGGCTGCAATTCTACTAGCTGCGCACCCATGCCAACGAGGGTTAGGGCGTCCCCCCAAGGCGACGCACACCAGCTCGTCCCCGTTGGTGTGGAATGCAGCGTGCAAAGCGGCGATGGGGACCGCCACCCGTCACGCACAGCCCGACACGGCGGAAGGTGGAGGACAGAGTGCAGAGTTGGCACGTGGAATGTTAGAGGAGGCATGAGAGATAAGACGAATGAGTTGATCGAAATAATGAAAGAAAGAGAATTAGATGTCGTGTGTATGTCGGAGACCAAACGGAAGGGCAGTGGTACTGAAGAGCTCCCTGGCGGGGCGTTAGCTCTATGGTCAGGAGTCCCGGAGAGCGAGAGCGCCTGCCAGGGAGTGGGGGTGCTGCTGTCTTCTCGGTTGGTCGATGTTATGAATGAATATAAGGTTGTGAACTCAAGACTCCTCTGGGTTCGCTTTAAATTGGGACTGACGAAGTTATTCCTTTTGGCTGTTTATGCGCCGGTAGCTTCGTCGTCCAGGGCTGAGCTGGAGGAGTTTTGGGAGAATGTAAGAGAAGTTCTAGATTTGGCTAGAGGAAACGAAAGAATTGTTGTATGTGGTGATTTGAATGGATGGGTTGGTACCGCTCGACCAGGGTACGAGTCGGTACTTGGAAAGTTTGGCGATAAAAGGGTTAATGATGCTGGCAAGCTTATACTGGCGGTGTGCAAGGAAAAGGGTCTTCTTGTGACAAACACTATGTTTAATCACAAGAAAATCCATATGTATACTAGAGAACGAAAGAATGAGAGAAGTATGATTGATTTGTTCCTGGTGGATGACCGACTGCGAAAACAGGTGATGGATACGCGAGTGTTCAGGGGTGCTGACCTGGGAACGGATCACTATCTAGTGATTACTAGATTTAGGGGTCTGTTCGCGGGTTGGCGCTACCGGACGGCAGTAACAGAACCACAGTCGGTCTGTCGCATCCGAAGCTGGAAGCTTCAGGAAGCGGATACTAGGGACAAATATCATGCGAGGGTAGCCGAAAAGCTTGACACCATCGATGGCAGAAAAGAATGTGTAGAAAGAACTTGGCAGAACCTTAGGGATGGAATGGTAAGTGCAGCGGAAGAAGTGTGTGGAACAATAAAAAGAGGCAGTAGTAAAAGAAGAGATGCATGGTGGAATGATGAAGTGAAAGAAGCTGTAAAGAAGAAGAAGAAAGCATGGTTAGACTACTTGGCCTCTAGTAATGATAAGGATATGAGAGAGAAGATGAAAGAAAGATATAGGCTGCAGAAAGTTCACACGAAAGCACTGATTGAGGAAGTGCGTGAAAGGTGTAGAATGGAAGCGGACGAAAGGTTGTCGCACAACTTTAAGGAGAACTCCAAACTCTTCTGGAAAGAGGTTGGAAGGACCCGAAGTGGTGCGACGGCCTTAAGAATGAACAAAGTGCTTTCGAGAACTAATGACGTCCTCTCAGAAAAATCGGACGTCATGCAGCGATGGAGCGAATTTTATAGAGAAATGTATGCGTGTGATGACCTTAGTGAGGGATCCGGGGATGACGCCGTGACTGGTACGCCAGACCCGGACCTCGATGACACTGAGGTCATCAGTATGAAAGAGATTGAACGTGCGATTCGAAGTTTGAAATGTGGTAAGGCTGCGGGACTAGACAGAGTTACTGCTGAAATGGTCAAGTATGGTGGGCCTCGCGTCTGGGACAGCTTTCATCTGCTGTGCAATTTGTGCTGGCAGACGGGGGATGTCCCGGATGATTGGCGATCCGCAGTCATTGTGCCTTTATATAAAGGTAAAGGTTCACATTTTGACTGCGGGTGCTATCGGGCGATCAGCTTGACCAGTTTAGCAAGTAAAGTTTACTCGAAGGTTTTGACACGTAGGATGCAAGAGAAATCGGAAAGATTTCTATGGGAGGCACAATGCGGATTTAGACCTGGAAGAGGATGCACGGATCAAATGTTTTCTCTCCGCATGATCGCGGAGAAGCTTCTGGCTGCTAACCAGAAGATTTTCTGTGCTTTTGTGGATCTTGAGAAAGCATTTGATAAGGTTGTAAGGAAGAAAATGTGGGAACTGTTGCCGGGGTATGGTGTGGATGGTCGATTGCTAAGGGCTGTGCAGTCTCTTTACTGTGACTGTAAAGCCTGTGTGCGGGTAGGACATGACCTGTCACCCATGTTTGACGTCCAAACGGGCGTAAAGCAGGGTTGTGTCATGTCTTCCTGGCTGTTCATACTGTATCTCGACAGCTGTTTACAGAAGCTGAAAGATAGCTGTTTGGGTGTGAAATTGGGTGACATTAAAGTAAATTGTCTGTTGTATGCTGATGATGCAGTACTTATAGCACCATCAGAGGCAGAACTGCAGGCATTAGTCACGTGTATGAAAGAGGAATGTGAAACTAAAGGTCTCCGTTTGAATGCTAATAAAACTAAGGTTCTGGTATTTGAAAGGGACGAAGAGAGAACGAAGTGTGAAATATGGGTAAATCAGGAATGTCTAGAACAGGTAAATGAAATTGTATACTTGGGGAGTGCTTTTAGCCGGGATGGAAGATGTGATTTAGATGTGGACAGGCGTGTCGCTGCCGGGAACAAAGTCAATGGTGCCCTGACTGCGTTAGTCAAAAGGCAAGGCGTAGCGAAGAGTGCACGCCTTGCAATACATAACGCAGTGTTGGTACCGACTTTGTTATATGGCAGCGAAACCTGGGTATGCCAGAAGAAGCATAAAAGTAAGTTGAATGCAGTGGAGATGCGATCTCTTCGTAAAATGTGCGGCGTTACCATGGCCGACCGAAAGCGAAACGAAGAGATTCGCAATATGGCAGGTTTGAAAGATGACCTTATCACAAAAATTGATAAGGGCGTGCTTCGGTGGTTTGGGCACGTTGAGCGAATGAGTGAAGACCGAATGGTGAAGAAAATATATAGCGCGAAAGTTAATATTAAAAGGTGTCGAGGTAGACCGAGACTAACTTTCGAAGACCATGTGAGCAAATTGCTCGAAGAGGGTAGGGTCAAAAGTACTCGGATACCTAGACGTGCATGCATGAAGAAGATAATGAATTTAAATAAAACTAATTTTACGGATTTTATCGCGTATATTAACTTATTTTATATTCCCGACGTTTCAAGTACTTTACAGCACTCATGGTCACGGGGGGGACTGAGGTGTATGACGTCCCAATGTCATAGTTAACCACGGCTACCTCCAGATTAAAAATTATTAATTTTTGTTCCGATCTACGCAGTATGAACTTACAGTATCATGAAGTCTTGCAGTTGTATGCTTGGGTTGGGATTTAATTTTATTAATTATGGGATCCCAAGCAGATGGTAGCACCCAGCCATCTTCTCTATTGAAATTAGGATGTTTCTTGATTTCAATAGCCTCGCGAATCATCCTTGGAAGGAATCGGTGTTCTTTAGCGAGGATTTGTGGTCTATCAAATCTAATGTAGTGACGGGGGCGATCCTGTACATGTTCACAGACTGCAGACTTCCCGGAGCGTCTATTCTTCACATCAGCTATGTGTTCTTTAATGAATCTGAAAGAAGCGAAAGAGGTTTGTAAGGATCGTGACACTTGGCGATCTGTTCTCTCTGGCTACCCCGTCAGGGATTGTGCGTGAAGATAAGTAAGTAAGTAAGTAAGTACTTATTGAAAGTCATTATTTTATTTACCACTGGTTCGGAAAATACCTCTGTCCTGGGAAGAACCAGCAAGAAACCCAGCGGGACTTTTTTTAAACATAATTTCACTTAACAATAATTTTGTTTATACAATTTTAAATGAATTTTCATAGAACCAGCATGGTGGCGATCACCTTATTCCCAGGGGTTATTTTCATTCATGTATTCCTTGATATTATAATAACCCTTTTTGTACAGTTTTTCTTTAATAAAACTTTTAAATTTGTTTATTGACAAACTTTGATGAAACAGAACATATTCTGGGATTTTGTCGTAAAAGCGTATACATTGCCCCATAAATGAATTACTAATTCTGTGGAGTCTAGTAAGTGGCATTACAAGCTTATGTTTGTTCCTAGTGTTTAAGGTATGAACATCCTTATTCTTATTAAAGCAATTTATGTTTTTATGTACATACATTACATTTTCATAAATATATTGCGATGCCAAAGTTAATATACCGCTCGTATCCCATTGCGTCAACATACGATGAAATGCCGTATGTTACCACCACCATTATTAAATGTAATTTGGTAGGACGTAATCCTGTATGACCCCGCTCTAACTTTAGCACTACTCTCTCGTCGAAGTTAATCAAGGGAGCACGAGCATGAAACTAAATTTGAGACACTCGTGTCGTCCTCACCTCGTTGGCGCTTACTCTGGAGTTAGTTTTTCGGGAGTGACTAAACTCGCCCATACACACAGTTTTACATATTACTTTTTATATATCACAGTTAAGCACTGGATTTTAAAACGTACGTAACGTATTACTATATGCTCTGCTAGATTTTGCACAAGACAGTCGAAACTGATGGGAAAAGAATAACGAACAAGGGAACTCACAAAAACTTAGGTAAGTTTGTTGAATCATATTAAGCTGATCCAATATAATGTAATCCAAAAACTATAACCACAAAGATAAATTCAGACATATTAACGAAACAATTGTACTTTATTCAAATTAGTTTCATTGTAAGATGTAAGATTGTCAGGAATGGTCATCGACAGTACTCGAATGGCGGATTTAATTCAGACTTTCTGAGTTTGCAGCACGTATCCATTACCTAAAATAATCATATAGGATTACACATACAGGATTATTTTTCTCTATGAGGATGCCTATGTTCACCAGTGGATTTTGAGGGGCTTTAGATACTTCCTCATAATCATCAACATTACTTGTCACTATCATCATCGGGATGATGAGAATGTAACTTAGTAGGGCCGATTATTATTATAAACATTTATTATTCAAAAAAAGCAAAGGACCTAATTTAAAATCGGAAACTAGGAATAAGGTTTAAAAATAAAATACAAGTTTAAAGATAATAAAACGTTTACTCATCTTCTTTAACGACATGCTTTTTACGTTCAGGCACGTGCGGTACACTGCCGGGTTTACTGTGTATACGACGATTTGATTCTTTCCTCTTTGTCTTCTCCCGTATTGTTCGGAGTTCCTTTTGTGCGTTAAGAATATGTTTTGGTACGTGCCGGTGTCGAGCTATCCGTTTTATTTGCGGATGATTGCCGAACTTCTCTTTCAAAGCGTCAGCATAGTGAAGTGCTGTGCGTTCGCGAGGTTTAAGCTGAAAAACGAAATCAAGAATTAATTAAGTGTTTTCAATAAAATACATTGTGAAGTATTCAACTGTGCCCAGTTTGTTTTACTAGAAATGTTTCATTAGCAAACTATTCGATTGGCAACTTATAACGAAATAAAACTAAAAGTGTCTTAAGTTGTAAGTTTCCAGTCGTTATTAGGAAGACACTGCTGCCTATCTCCTGTTTTGTTTCCCTCTCTCGTTGTCTTACTCTATGGGAAGATATGGAGTGATGAATATTCTTACATCGCCACTACACGGTAAGTGTCGTGAAGCATAAACACGAGATGTAAACACACAATATTGGCCACACATTTCATAATAAAATAGGCTTTCAAAACTAAACATTATCACTACTTGTTCTGGTGATAACACTTTTGGGTTGACTCGTTCGGGGAAGCACCACGCTCTTCGCTTCGGACTGTATTCCACAATGAACTACTATTTATATGGCTAAGAAATAATTGTTTGAATCTGATTGTTAGTTTTTATGCAATTGTCAATTGCATCCACAAAGCAGGAAATTCCTAAAGTGCATTGTTTATAAAAGGTAATTCTAATTTTAGTAGATAACATTATTATTGAAATTTCACCACTTACGCAGCAGCACTAGAATGTCCATATTAGATTGATTTTAGCGAAACCCCTAGTTGGGTCACTGAGGTCATTTTGATCTAGATTTGTCATATGGTTGGCATTCAATGTACTCTATATGATCTTGCTGAGTATAAAAACTTAAAATAGCTGATAATTGGCAAGGTTAATTTTACGGTTAGGTTAGGGGTGGATAATTGGCACAACTGACTTTTATGGATAAGCTGCACAATGGCCAGCTTTCTTACTATAATTCTAGGTTTGTTTTCAAATATACAAGATTGTAAACAGGGCGGAGACCCCTTCTCATGTTTTTAAATCAATTCCAATAAATTGTGAAAAAAGCCAAACAGTACTCAGATTTTATAAAAGAGAAACAAAGGAAAGGTATACTTACAACACCAAGTTTTTCAGATGCCCTTGCTTTCCACATTCTAATGTTCATTTCATCTGACCCTGTTAATATATATTTATTATCTAAAGACCACTTGACACAAGTAAGCCTTTGCATTCTCTTTGTATGATAAACATCTCTAGAATGGCCCTTGAGACTTTCAAATATTCTTACAGTTTTGTCATAACTACCAGCAACAAATTCTCTACCAGTTGGCGAGTAATCCACATCTATAACTGCTGATGTGTGATCCATGTGAATATTTACAGGTTGATTTAATTTTCTAACATCAAATGTATATAGGCTGAAAAATATACAGGGTTAATTTTCAAAGAGTAGCCAAATTTCAAACTTAAGATTAAATATATAAATAATGATATACCGTTATTGTAGTTTTAAAAATACGAGTAGATAAAGCTTCTACTTTTATTTTAAATTATTCCAAATTGAATGTGATTTATGAGCAAAAACGTTTTTGTCAATCGAATGTGTGCGTGCGCAGTAAAATCAGTTAAAATAATGCATTACTACACATCTTAAATTTAAAACATAAAAAGGACAGAATGTTTGAGATTTTTTAAAATTAACTTTTCTTTACCATTGAGTTATATGTACTACGTACTAGAGAAACCATTCCGAACATTGACTATGTTCAACTGAACTGTACTGCAATCCGTACAAACTAAATATTCCGTAAATTGAAGATTTGTGAATTCACTTAAATTATTATTATTAAGTACATGTTTGTTTAGATTAAATTAAGATTTTTTATATTAAATTCTTATATTTATTTTATATTAATATCTTATTTTATATCAAATGAGTCTTCCCGCGTGCGCGACTACAACTCCCGCGCATACGCGAAGATATAGAATAGGACACAATTTTTGTTTGGAATAGCTTCTCTAGTACGTAGTACATATAACTCAAATGTTCTTCACCATTTATTTAAAAAATAATATAGGCATATTACTTTTTACTATATATGTAATCTATAGTAAAAAGTCATGATATCTCTATATATAAAAATCAATTGCAGTCCATTAGTCTCGCTAAAATTCGAAAATGGTTCGAACTATTTAGATAAAAAAAAATTGTGTGTGTTTGAGTGGGTTTCTGGGATGGCTTAAATTCACAATTAGACGGCGGCTAATTAGGTGGCGCTGTTGTCGTGCGAAGCCGAGGCGGGCCGCTAGTATTAGATAAAATCAAAGGGAAACCCCTAAACCAGTTCAATCGAATCTTAAGAATTACTTTATGAAGGATATTCTTCATAAAGTAATTTTAAGATTTTATGAAGGATATTCACAACCACACCCTTCAAACCAAAGTAGTAACAAAAAGATCGATGTGATGTCTCTGTCATATGCCTCTGCACTCCGCGTAAAGCATCTATTAACAACTCAGTTGTATATGAACCCGAAAGGAATTATGTAACTTCCTTTTTGAAGAATGTAAAAATATATAAATTTATAAAATTAGTAAGGGGGCAAATCTTTCAAGCTTTTTAAACGGCTAAAAATGCTTGAAAAGGAAAGAACAATAAAATATGCACTCACCATAGAATAAATAAAATCAAAAACCAAATGAATCAGATAAAAACCTTGATTATTAATATTATTAAAATTGACATCTCATAACTCTTATGGAAGATTGGTGAAAGGCTACAGAGCAAATGCATGAGAGATATTTTGTTCCTCAGCATGCAGGTTTCCTCAAGATGTTTTCTTCGCCATTGAAAGCACAGAGAGTAAATCAGTAATCAAAATTGCAAATAAATTTTTTATTGGTGCTGGGCAGAGATTGTACATTTCTTGTGAGTGTAAAAGTTACAGACATTACTTAACCCCTTAGCTACCACGGATTATACAGATTACATTGAATAAATATAAATTTTCATAAATACTTACTTATAATCTTCATTAGCAACTGTAAATATAAAAGCTTCCATTGGATTCCAGGAAAGCGCATTTGATCTTAACTCCATCACAACTTTCCGTAATGGTCCAGATTCTCTACAGTCATATAGAATTATGCTTCTGTCACTTGCACATGAAGCTAACAAATTGTTTTCAATCTGTGAATTGAAATTATTTATTATAATTCTTTGCATTAAACAATTGTTATGTGGTATAAGAGAATGCATAACTCCCTTTCTTCCTATGGATATAGTGAAATTCGACTATGGGATATGCCAGAATAATTTGCTGAATTCTGATACATGATAGTATAACCAACACATTAACCTAAATGTAAAATTCGCAGACTGGTGACGAGTAACAGCGTCAAAGTTGCAAGACATCTGGAACTGCAAGAATTAAGCTGTATCTGTAGAATAAAATTCAAGTGTTCCCTTGTTACAGTAGATTTTCACAAACCATAATAAAGATTAGATAGATAGATTATCATAATAAAGAAGCCTTTAGACAAAAAATAAAACTGGCCAAGTGCATGTCGAGCCATGCACATGCAGATAGCCATGCCATGGCAAAACTATAAGGGTTTCCTGTTGTTTAACTATGGAACCTTAACAATTAAGTTACAAATGTAATCATATATATCCCACCGCTAGACAAAGGCCTATTCATTTCTTAGTGTCTTACGGAGCATTCTTGGACAAAGGCCTATTCATTTCTTAGTGTCTTATGGAGCATTCTTCTACGTGGTAGAGCCATGCTGCAGCTATATTATGGTTGTAGCACGAATGGGTCGGCTCGAACGGGGAAGGACCACGCTCTCACAGAAAACCAGCGTAAAATAGCAGCTTAATGCTGCTGTGTTTCGTATGGTGAGTGTAGAGAACCGGAGACCCTTTTTAGGCATTCCATCTTAATCCTCACGGGTGACAACGCATCTGCATCTTGAGTCTTTATTGAGGATAGATGTAGATGTATATGGGTCACAGTAACCACTTACCATCAGGTGGACTGTGTGCTCATTTGTCACCCGACGCTATAAAAAAAAGCATTTTATTTGCAGTGCAAGCACTAGGCCCCATAACGCTTAGCCAAACACAAATGCAAAAACAAATTGCTCAATATTAGTGAGAGGATATTATTATTAGAACTTCAAAAAATACATGTTTTCAAAAGCAAATGCCACTAATGCCGATTTCTCTGGCAATGGCAAAATGCGTAGTAGAGGCATACACTACCCCATATCATAACATGGGTGTCGTAAAAGGTGACACAGGGAAACTAAAACATGAGAAGGGCAGGGAAATATTCTTGATAGTAACTGAAAATAATTAAAAAAAACTTAGGCAGATAGCAAGCATGGCAACTATAGCAAAATCTCCCTATAATTACCTATGGGATGGCCTATAATCAACAGTAAACTTCGGATAGATTGTAATGTATGAAATTGTATGCCTATCATTTCTTTTTTAGACTACTAATATTATTAACAGTAATACAGTATACCTGATTAAATGCAACATGATGAAGACTGTCCACTCCCCATTTAAAGACTTTAACTGGTTCATTTCTTGTGTTCTCCCATAATTGGCAATGTTCACCACAAGTAGCAAAAATTGGTTTAACTCTATGGTAAGTTATACCTGACACCACAGACATGCTCAGCAAAGTGTTAAGAGGTTCTTCGTCTTCAGGAGACTGAACTTGAGATTTCCAAGTTTTTATTGTTTTATCATCACCAACGCTTGTGAAAGTTTCACCATTGGGTGCATAACAAATAGCACGAACCCATCCCTCATGTGCAACAAAATTTCGTGAGCATTTCCTGATTGCCAAATCCCAAATTCTTATTTCACCATCGAAAGCTCCACTTGCTAATACCGCAAGTTTACTAGGATGTTTTGCCATTGTAGATACTCCATCTCTGTGGCCATCAAGATTACCAATAAAAGGTTTTGCAAACACTCTTTCAAGCTTTACAGCATTTAAAGCTCTAACATATTCACGAGGAGCTTCTAAAGGATGTAAGCTTGGATCATAATTCCTTGGTACTGAAACAATATTAAATAGTGTTTTAAGAGATGGTTGAAGTCCACTGCTAGACATGGACCTCTCTCGTAGCTGGGAGTATGTGCTTTAATATTCACGGTTCGCAGCCAGATTAATGATTGCAATACCAAAGTGAGGTCTTGCACCTTTGACATTGCTTCCCATTGCCGATTTGGATATTTTACACCAAGTGTAGAGATAGTTATACTGCCATCGATTGGAAGCCATAAGATCTTTTCGGGACAGCTTGTAATCGCCGCTTATGACACACACTGAACAAAATGCGATTATAAATTATCTTACACTTCTACTTCATGATGTATGATAACATAAAATTTTGTTTAAAAAATAATAAATTTACTTTTGTTAATCTTTGTAAATCTTACAATCATCTTCAGGATTTCGACTTATAATCTTAATCCTTACGTCAGAAATTATAAGCACATACATTTTTGAATAAAGAATTAGAAGTTCAAAATCTACGAGATGGCTTTATTAATGTCTTTAAAAAGCTCAAAAATTGCTAATTTTGCTTCAGTAACTAATTTTACCAACATGTTCAAAAGTAATTATTTGTATATAACCTTAAACACCATAGAAAATGGGTTGATGAATTCTCTTCCTCTTAATCTCATGACTTTTAGACGGGAAATGAAGCTGCAGTCTTCACCAGATATGACAGCATACAGGAAACTGAACAGACAGATCTTCAAATGCATGCGGCCGGACTTAAGCAACTTCAATACAGCTCGTATTGAAGAAGCGATCAAGCGGAACCAAGGCTCCAAAGTCTTTGCAAGAATCTGTCTGCCAGAAAGAGCCAACATAAAGCTGAAGAGCGAATTTGGTAGCACCGTTTCCGAGACACCTGAGATTTTGAATGAGATTGAGAGGTTCCACTGGCAGCTGTACACGTCATCGTTGGAGCCACGCAAGTGTGAGTAACTATCCAAGAGCAAGTCTTATTCAAAACTATTCCGATGATATCCCAGACGTCAGTTTGAGCGAGATTAGAATGGCTCTCCATCACGCTAAAAACGGCAAGGCCCCGGGCGAGGATGGAATTACAGCGGACCTTCTGAAAGCGGGTAGAAAACCAGTACTTGAAGTTCTTCAGAAGCTCTTTAATTCCGTTCTCCATGGTGGCATTACTCTGGAGGCGTGGAGCTGAAGTGCGGTGGTTTTGTTCTTTAAGAAAGGCGACAATGCTCTCTTGAAGAACTATAGACCGATTTCCTTTCTGAGCCGCGTCTTTGTGCTGTTTTCGAGAGTCATTACGAATCTCAGACTCGACGACTTCAAGCGTTCCAAACAAGCCAGTTTCCGAAATGGGTTTAGTACCATAGACCACATACATATCCTTCGGCAAATTGTACAGAAGACCGAAGAGAATCTGTCATTATGAAAAAGCCTTTGATTCCATCGAAATTTGGGCGGTACTACAAGTCCCTTCAGCGGTGCAAAGTTGACTGTCGGTATATCGAAGTGCAGTAGGGCTACGATGGCTATCCGAGTACAGAACCATAGTACGAAACCTACCCAACTGCAGAGAAGTGTAAGACAGGGTGATGTTATATTTTCGAAACTCTTCACCGTTGCATGATAAGATGTTTTCAAGCTACTGGACTGGAAAGGATACGGTATTAACATCAATGGCGAGACATCACTCACCTTCGATTTGCCTACGATATAGAATAGAATTGATTTTTTTTTCAATATTGATTGTTACATAATACTTATTGAAAGTATTATTTTTTACCACTGGTTCGGAAAATACCTCTGTCCTGGTAAGAACCAGCAAGAAACCCAGCGGGACTTTTTTTAAACACATTTCATTTAACAATAATTTTGTTTGTACAATTTTTAAATGAATTTTCATGGAACCAGCATGGTGGCGATCACCTTATTCCCAGGGGTTAAGTTATAAATCACCCATATGTCTCTTTTTTGCAAAACAAATATGGCTTCAATATCAGTCGCATTACCCCATAGTAAAATTCCATAAGACATTACGCTATGAAAGTAACTAAAATAAACTAATATAGCTGTCTCAACATCTATGACTTCCTAATCTTTCTTGCAGTTTTAATTTAGATATATAGGGGCCCCATTGAAGTTTCGCGTCAATTTTGATTTTGAAAATTAAAGAGATATCATCAGAAAATAATAATATATCGTGATTTTCCCTTAAAGATAAGGTAAGTCATTAATATAAATTAAGAACAGCAATGGGCCAAGAATCGAGCCCTGAGGAACACCCATTGATACTACAAATCTGGAGGAACCTTTAATATTGATCACGACTTTTTGAGTTCTATTACTCAAATATGAAGTAATAAGTCTAAGCGCCAAATTTTTTACACCGTGATGTTGTAGTTCCCGATTAATGTCTCATGATGAACGCAATCGAAAGCCTTGGAAAGATTACAAAAAATACCTAATGCATCTTGTGAATTCTCCCAAGCATTATATATTTTTATACAAAACAATATTTTTTTAGAGGAGAAGCGGCAAATGAGCATACGGTTCGCCTGATGATAAGTGACTACCGGCACCTATGAACAACTGCAACGTTGCCGGCCTTTTAAAATGGAGTAAGCTCTTATCTTGAAGGTCCCTAAGTCGTATCGGTCCGGGAAAATTGCCGTTGGTAAATTATTCCACAAAGAGGTTGTACGCGGAAGAAAACTCCTAGTGAAACGTACAGTGGTGGACCATCATACATCTAGATGGTGTGGATGGTATCGGGAGTATTGCCGCGATGTGCGTTCGTGAAATTTGACGGCTGGGATTAATCCGAACAATTCTTCAGAGCACTCCCCATGGTAAATACGAAAGAAAATGCAACATCTCTTCGCAGCACCAGTGAATCGAGCCGATCGTTAAGGACTCGGTCGTCGACAATTCGAGACGCTCTGCGCTGGACGCGGTCAAGTGGAAGAAGCTGGCACTGGTGAGCCCCAGCCCAGAGATGTGAACAGTATTCCATGTGAGGCCGAACCTGCGCCTTGTAAAGTTGCAGGCGGTGTGACGGCATGAAATACTATCCCGTTTTGCTGAACACGCCAAGGTTTTAGAGGCCAATTTGGCCTTCTCTTTCAAATGACCACGAAACTGCACGTCAGTCGATATGTCGACACCGAGGATTCCGATACTGACTGAAGCAACAAGGGAAGTGCCTTCAAACTGAGGAGAAACGATAAAGAGAATTTCATAAGCTCAATAGCAGCATCAGACGTCGAGCGACCCTTTGTAAAACTAAATTGGTTTTGATGAAGTAATTTAATGGGTTGGCTTTAGTAATCTGCGGCACGATTTAAGTGATCATTTTAGCTTTAGTTGACAGGCAATGATGCTATTGATTACCACCTAGCTGCTTTTTATGCCGGAAATCTTTAGTTTTCGAGATATCGATAATTATATTTTTGAGGTTATATCCATTTAAAGATGATACGAAAACGAAATAACAATATAATTATTAGAAAGAGATAGCAATAGAGCATAGTCGGGTTGTGTTTAGAATCAAGTCGCCTGAATTTGAGGAGTCTGTCACTAGGGAGGGGGGGGGGGGCAAGGGGGCTTATCTCAAGCGCCCCCATGCAATTTTAGCTGCGAAATATTTAATATTATTTTCTAAAAATATTCATAAACCACTAATTAATACCTGAAACGGAACTTTTGACATTGACAGTAATCAGTAACAGATATACTCGACCAAAGAGAATATAATCACTACGTTTATACTCGACTTTAGTGTTGCCAATTTAGCATATTATATGCTAAATTTGACATATTTTCTTCTTGTTTAGCATATTTTTTTTGCTTTTAGCATATAGCATATTATTTCAGCATATTCTTATAAAACATGAAAAGAATGTAAATTACAATCTTTCTTGAAATAAAATTTGATATCGATACCTACCTCAATCAATTTCCCACTTCACTACTAGTGATTCACTAGCATGGCAACCCTTTTTTGAAGCGAATATAATATTCTCTGTGCTACGGGATTCCCCTTAGACATAGAGAATGGACTGAGCCCTTATTCAGGTATAAAGTAAATATGGACGAAGTACAAGAGAGACAAAGCGAATGTGCCGCCAGTTATTGTCTCTTTCTACGCCTTACCTGCGCCTTGCAGAAAATACACATGTATTGGCCGCGTATTCACTTTGTCTCTTTCTAGAGAGTGGTCAGTTTTGTGAGGGTGATGTCTATGGGATAGAATTCCCTTACTATTATCCATTCCCCAGCGCCTACGTCGCTTTCTGTCAAAAACATTGTTTATTGTTGTGGATGTGGACTCACTCATATCGTCGTCTCGTCTTATCCGTGTTTTCGTGTTCCTTTTTTATAATTTGATATTTTTATTATTATTATTACTAAGTATAGTCAACATTACCGGGCAGACTGGGAGAAAATGGCAGACTTTAAAGAGTGGTTGCAGCCCGTTGAAAACGATACTTCGAAAGCGTACTGTAAGTATTGTAAATGCGAAATGATTGCAAAATTGTCTGTTTTGAGGCTACATATTTCATCAGCAAAGCACAGAAAAGCAATAGAGCCAATGAAGAGTCAAAAAAAAATTAACTTCCCTAAAGTAAAAAAAGATCTGAATACCCAGAAAGCAGAATCTTCGCTGGCTTTGTTTGTTTGCGAGCACTGTGCAATTATGGCTGTAGATCATTTATCGGAACTATGCAAATACCGATTTGTCGACAGCAAATACAGCGACATCAAGTTACATCGAACCAAATGCACGAATATTATTAAAAATGTTTTGGCACCACACTTCATTCAAGAAATTGTGACAGATTTAGGAGATCAGGAGTACAGTCTCTTAATCGATGAATCGACAGATATATTGGTACTTAAAATGCTTGGTGTTTCGATAAGATATTTCAGCCGATCATTAAAAAAGATAATTTCCACATTCTTGGGATTAGTTGAGATTGAAGACGGAACTGCAGTCAGCATAGTGAACGGCATTAAAGGATTGTTG